GTTCTGACAGGTCGTTTTCGATCAATGAACAGTAGCGCCATAGGAAGCGCCAATTTTAAATTTGAATTTTGACAAAATATAGATACAAATTGTTATAAAATATAATTCAAACCACTAACTTTAATTCACATTTGTAACGCATTGCAAATATAATAAGTATTATTCATTATTGTACAGATTTCTCAAATATTTTATTTATATTAAACAAATTATTTTAAAGTTGCAAAAGACATAAAAAAGAATGTGCGTAAGGTTCACACACAATTGAAGTGAAACTTTTTGCTATTGTACGAGATGGCATTTAAATTTCAAAATCCATGGATAGATATATTCTTGAATATTTGATAAATTTAAAACGGCAAAAACTTTGTTTAACAATCCATGGATATATATCTCTGAATATTTGATAAAAATAAAAAGACAAAAACTTTGTTTAAAAATCCACAGACAGATATCTTTAAATATTTGATAAAAATAAAACAGCAAAAACTTTGTTTAACAATCCACAGACAGAAGATATCTCGGTATATTTGATAAAAATAAAAAGTCAAAACTTTGTTTAAAAATCCACAGATATCCATGTTATTAAAAATCTATGGATAGATATCTTTGAATATTTGATAAAATAAAACATCCATGGTTATTCACTCATTTCAAACATGTCAAATATTAACAGTTTTCACATTTTTTCAACAACTTTCCAACAATTATAGAGGCTCAACTGATCTTTACTAAAAACTAATCAGCACGATTCCCAACTGATATCTTATGAAGAGTTTTTAAATGTTCATCAAGATCGAACTAACTAATCAATCCGGACGTTTTTGATGAAATGGCGAGTTAAAGTCAAATTTCAGTCGACACACGTACTTTTTACAATTTTTTCAAACGATTCAAAATTACTTCAAGACGAGAACACTTTCTGTAAAAAAGTCGAAAACAAAACAATTTCGGAAGAAGTTACAAATAATCTACAATATTCAGTTATAAACACACAACACAATATTATAAACTAATAACATTTGAATAAAATAATATGCAAAAAAATGGTTCTCAAAATCTTAGCAATTTTGTTTGCTAATAAATATAAAAATAAAATACATGTCCAACCAAACGAATTGGCTGTAAATTTTTTAATCAAATTAGCGAGTCAAGTGTACCTAGAAAGCCAGCTCACCAGATTAAAACATAAACTACCTGCAGACCTCATTCAGTCGAGTTGAATTTATTCTTATTATTTATTTAGTAACTATTTATTTAATTATTACTTTTCATTTACTATTTTTATTTTATATAGGTACTTTTTTTTCTTCTTTCTTTTTTGTTTTTATTATTTTTCTTATATTTCATATATCCCTAGTAGACACTGGGTGTATCCACTAATTTCAATATTAATTAATATAATAATCAATATTATTTTCTCAAATATGCTAGCCGTCTCTGGTTAATGTTTTAGAATAAACAGATTGATGAATATAGTTAATTAAAAAAAATAATATTTGAATCTTTATTACTATTATTTCATTGAGTGTTATATCATTATTACCAATATACTTTATTACCATATATAAAACTATATAATACACACAATAAAATCTAGCTCACAAACTATATGTAAAAATAATTTTTAACAATAAAAGTAATCATGAACTCATCTTTCAGTTAATTTTAATTTAGATACCATTATTTTAATAAACAATGGATATCTAATCATTAATAAAATGTTGACATAGTACACATGTTTAAAAATACCAAATTCAAGCAAAAGAATTTGATTATACTTTTAACTTTTTAAATAACCAGATCTATAATTTATATATGTATTTTAAATATAAAACTTACTTTTGTGTAGTATATCAATGCTAATTGAACAAAATCAAATTTTAGCATGTAGTTGTAACAATTTGTTGCTGGTGGTGAGTCAAATTTATAGAATTACTGACGACCTTAGGGAAATTTTGTGGCTTTTTTGAACATTCCAAACATGTAACAATTTCGTTACCTGTCATATTGGGAAATTGAGTTCGAATGCAACCTGAAAATTAATATAAATTATATATAAATTACCTTGCTAAATAATGTATTATTCTAAATAATTTGCTAAATAATGTTAATAACTAGTTTATTACTTTATATATATATATATATATATATATATATATATATATTCATATATCATTAGAGTAATACTAATTTTGGCGTAAAAAGATTAATTATAAATAACTAGCTGTACCCATTCACGCTTCGTCGTGTTTACTTTCAAATAAAATTTTAAGAAAAATGCATATTTGTTACATCTAGTCTACCAGTTTTCTTGACTTTTAGTCTGCCTGTCTATATGACTATCTGTCTACCTCTCTACCTGTCTACCAGTTCACCTGTCAACCAATTTACCAGTCCACCACCACCAGTACACCAGTATATCTGTCAACCTGTTTATCAGTATCAGTTTACCTGTCTATCAATTTGCCTGTCCACCAATTCACTTATCAACCTGTTTATCAATCTACCATCTTACCTGCCTACCAATTTACCTGTCAATCCATTTTACATATCTATCAATTTACCTGTAAACTTGTTTATCTGCTGACATATTTGTCTATCTATCAGTTGTTCTGTCTACTTTTTACATATCCACCAATTTTCCTGTCCACCAGTTTACCTATTCTACTATTAGTTATATTACTATAATAATTACCTGTATGCATTTTATGAGTACAAATCTTGCAAGTCATGAAAGCCTGATTATCAAGAACACAATAGAAGCATACATTGAACAATATCTTTCTCTTGCCACATTCTGAAATAATGTCATATGTATTTTAAGACAAACAGACAAAAACAAACAAATAAATTGAAATAAAAACTTCAAATTAAATAAAAAAATACTTCAAAAAGGATTTGTGGTTTAATTTTAATGTTAAGTTATAGGACTTAGTTGAAAAGATTTGGCATTTTATAATATACTTGTGTAGAGAATACTGTTTTATGCTATAATTTTATGTATAATATAAACTTACACTGCACAGGGCTGACACAACTGCCTTGGACCTCTCGGAGTGTCCACCCTTCGCCACTGCTTAATTGAAGTTGCATTTGTACTATTTTTGTTATACCAGAATCAGTGTGATTTGCACGAGCACATGTACTGCATAAAGTGCAAGACCATTTAGAACTTGAACTATTAGAACCTGATAAAAAGAAATTTTTGTATGATATATAAACTTCAGTGAAACCGTATGAAACTGAATTTCATCATAAAAAAAACTTTCATAAATTCAATCAATCATTTCTCAAAGGCTAAATATAAAATTATTTGCGTTTATTACATTCAGGTGATAATCATATATCTTTTCAAATACTAATTAATAAGTACAAACTATGTGTGCATGGAATTCTGCCTTAAATAATTAATATTTTATAATAATGTACTGAACTCAATATTCAACTGCACCAACCCACTATTTCAAACTTCATTGAATTTTTATAATTAAACTAATTTTCGTAGGCCTATAATATTTTAGGATGTTCGTTAAGATCATGAACTCACTTTGTAGAGTATCATTAAAATCACTAACAAAATCTTGTAACAAGTAATTAAAAAAAACGGTCCTGTTTCGAAATTTTTGCATTATCAAAATCAGTACAGAATTGTGGGCGAGAAAGTTAACGAAGAATAGTATTTAGTCTTCACCTGCTAATGACTTTTGATTTTTTGAAATTGTAAAGCATTTTTTGATGGGGTCAAAATGATTCAATTTTGACTCACAAGCATGCATTCATACACATATCTCCAATTTAGGTGTCAAACATTATCTCCAAAATTAGTAAAACAGATTTTCTTGCAAATCAACAACAAACAATTGAAAACCAAATTTAAAAATGGTTATCAATAAATTTTGTCTACAAAAGTCAATTCAGAGTTATACCCTGGCTTACGATCAGTTATTGAAAATTTTTACTAGCATTCCCAGGTACTAAAAATGAAAATCAGTTGCAAATTACCAAACAGTGACTTACAACTGTTTATAAGTATAATGGAACCTGATACCAACAAACTTGTTAAAAACTGTCAAATTCATCCATCTCATATAGAGTTTAAAAACTAAATTTTATTAAAAGTAAACACTGTCTTTTTATTTGCTTTCACTCGTAAGGTTACACCAACTAATATAGCACACTATAACTATATTATTAAAATTAAAAAAAAAGTTTCTTATAGATTGTATGAAATATTTGGTAAGCGGGCGCTAAAAAAATTTTTATCTTCAAGAAATGTCTTTCATTCTTCTTCTTGAAGAAATATCTTTGAGAAACGCTGCTCTACAGCAATTCGGCGTGTTTATATTCTATCAAAATCATTATTAACATATATTGATTAGTCTTTTAATTACAAATGTCGTGGTCATGCAACTTACCTTAAGGCAAAATGCAACAAAGTTACATTTAATAATAGTTAAAGGAAAAAACAATAATTACCATTGCCAATGCAGGCGACATGAGCGCATCGATCACAACGTTCGCAGCGCAACACATTTGGAGATTTTTGATTTGAATTCAATCCATTAGATAGAGAATTATCTCCATTGGCAGCTGCCTGTATTGGTTTACAACATTGCAAGCACTGTTTGCACTCCATACATCTCCAAGCATAAGATTTTGATAATAAAATAGATTCTCTCGATCGTAATCCTGCGCACAGAGCATGCACTAAAAGAATAATAAAAACATTTGTTAAAAAAATAATGAAATTATAAAGAAGTTATTATTAACCCTTTTGCTACAAATGTCGTCTATGGACGACATCCATTTGACGACCTGACGACTTTTACTTCAATATTTATCACGCTGATTTAAATTATTGAAAATTCTAAATTGTATTGTGGTTTTTAGATTTTTAGAAATGTAATTTTGTTCTTTTAGAAGTGTAATTTTGAATTTTTAACTTCCCGTAGGGTAAGTTATTGTAATGGGCCGAAAATCGGAAATGAAAATTTTTACATTTCTCGACGTTTTGAAGGTTTCTGAACGTTTTGGGATACCTCAGAAAAAATGGATGTGTGTGTGTGTGTGTGTGTGTGTGTATGTGTGTGTGTGTGTATGTATGTGTGGATACAAATTTCCAGTCACGTTTTAGGGCGCACGGATCAACGGATTTGAATGGTTCAAAAAACATTCGATTTCTATTGATAGGGAAAAGAGCTGATTAGTTTTTGGCAAAGGCAGGTCCAGCCGTTTCGAAGATACGGAGTAAAGAGTGCAGAAAATAGAAATCGAATTTTTGAGAGAACGGAGTATCCGATTTGAATGATCTAAAAAACATTCAATTAGTAATGATTGGGAGAAGTGTTTATTAGTTTTTGGCAAAGGCAGGCCCAGCCATTTTGAAGATACGGAGCTAAATATGTAAAAAATAGCAGTTTTTGAGAGAACTAAGCGTCCGATTTAAATGATTCAAAGAACTTTCTGCTTGTCTTAACAAAATAATTGATTTTGGAAAAAAAAATTGTTCCATTTTTTTTTTTTTTTTTTTTTTAGTTTTTTGTATATCGAAAATATTTCAGATTTTATTTTATTATTTTATATTAGACAATGATACAATATTTATAATAATCTATTTGAAAACATTCAGTATTCAACGGGAAGTTCCAGCAATTTGCCTTAAGGCACGATGCCATAATAGCCTCAAGACAGAATTCCACTTACAGCTAGTTAAATACATTTTTACTGCCTATATTTTTAGAGAGCCTATTTATTAAATTTATTTTTTCATTCAAATTTTGAATACAAACTTATACAAATCTTAAAACATTTATTATATTTCCTAGAAATAATTAAATAATACTGCTCAAACAATTAGTTTACAACCATCAGAAAATGAGAAGACTACAAAAGATAAATAATAACACAAGAACTATGAAAAAATATTAACAACAATAGTACAAATAACTTAAATTTTGAGTAAATTTTCTCAAAAACTAAACATCTCTTTTATTTTCTGTTTCATTTTTCAGATTTTAACCCGAATCAATATAATAAAATTGTTGAAAAACATATTTAAAGTTTGAGTATACATCATTAACTCTTTTTCTACAGGAGTGTTTTCAATTAATAAAAATGTTTTTAAAAATTATAAATTACATTTTTAAATATCTAAATATTACAATGACATTAATATTGAAGCAAGGGTTCGAGGGCGATACTCATACACAGGCAGATGTTACCTATAGGCGACACTTGTAGCATCTTTTAAAATTAAAATAGTTATTTAATAACAACATGCAAAGTGATTTAAATTTAATATTGTTTAGCAAAATTACAATACAAAATTGTTTTTAAAATGTTTGTTTTGTAACATTCATTGTTTTATGTATGATATATTGCGTCAAATTATCACAACGGTTATAATATGGTGGTGACACTTAAAATGTACTACCACTACTTGAAAAGTTCCTTAAAGATGACGTTATTCTTGGACTCATCTCTAATCGAATTAATTAAATGAAACTTTTTTGTATGTAAGAGAATTTTATCTATTTGGTAACATACATTTTGTACCAGAATATCGGAAAACAAATTAAAAAAAAAAAACAGGCTGTATTAGACAAATGGGAAAAATAGCAATAGTATTGTTCATTAAGGTACAAAATTATACCAAAATAAAACCTACTAATTGATATATTTCAAAATACTTTTTCCCAAGTTCCAGAATTAAAAAATATGACATAAAACTGGCTATGAAATTATTAATTTAATTACTCAGAACATCCATTTTTACTATTTATTTCAGTGTATTAATAACTTGAAGTAAATGCCATAACATTGAAGAAATAACTATTATATTGGTTCAAAACTCTTACCATGCGCTTTACAGCCAGTGCATTGAACAAATTCTTGACCTGGTTTTGAAACTTTACATAATCGGCATGAACGATCAGAATTTGAAGGACCATCTTCATCCTGAAATAATCAAATAATGAAATAAGAAATTGATTTAAATATATCAAATAGTTATTTTGAAAATATTAAATTTGTTTGATTAAACTGATTGTAAAAAATATATGTGACACTTGATTTATATTAAAGGTTATATTTATAAAGTCTTAATAAATCTAACTGAAAGCTTTAAAAAGAATAAAATGATTAAGTTAATTAAGATCAGTTTTTTCTATAGACTATAATTTTATGTATAATATAGTTTTTATGTGTTACATAGTATAACAACAATTACCTCTGAATCATCAGAACTTGAATCGCTATCTGAACCACTAGAACTGGAACTGGATGATGAACTATCTGAACCTTGGTTAACAACAATTGGGAGTGTTTGTTGGTTAGGCTTCTGTGGACCATACAAAACAGTATCCAATGGGAAATATCTGTAAAAAAACCATAGTAGAACACATAGTAAACGTAACAAGTGCAAAGTTTTAGCACTTTAAAATATATCCATGAACAATTATTTACAAAATTAGAATACCTAAGCTCATTGGGTGAATATTTCTTGTAGTAGTCACAAAATTGTCCAGGAACTAAAGCAACTGGATAATGACCCGGTTTTGTTTTAGATGGACTTTGCACTCTTCGAACCGATTTTGATTTCTGTATAACATATGTTTGAAGATCTAAGCAACCACCTTTACGATTCTCCATTCGGCTATTATAAATTAAAATTACAATAAGATTTTATGGCAAAATAGCTGCATGTTTCAATTCAACAAAATAATTAAACTTACTCTTTATTAAATTTACTGTTCCAAGATGAAGCAGAACTGATTGCGCGGTCTTTTATACTTCTTTGTTTATTTCTATCATTGTTCATTGCTCGTTGTTTTATAGCAAGTTCTTTAGCTTGTTTATCTCGTAAATATCTAGAAAGTGACAAATGTAAATTCAAATATAAAATTTAAATTACAAACACAATTTTATTTCATTTTATTCTTAATAAATAAGAATTGACTTCAAATATGAATGTCTATGTCAAATTCAAGTTCTGAATATCATTTTAGAAAAAAATGCATGAAAGTATTAATAATAACTGAAAGTAAATTAAAAGCAATATTTTACATAAAGCATAAAAAGCTTATCATATCTGCTTACTTTTTATACTCATCATATTTCTGAGGAAAATCAGCAGACATAATATCAAGCACTTCACATGTAGGAATGGCAGTTAAACCCAAATCACACAACGTTTCAGTAACCAGATTTCTACTCATAATATAATCTCTTTCCCTCATTTCAACTTGTCTTCTTCTCACATCAGGATATTTTCTTTTAAAACTCGTAACACCAAGATATAAGGCTATTTGTTCTTGTATCATATACATTTCAGGGAACAATTTTTCTTCATAACTATTTGAGGTACCATTAGTTGTAGTAGAAGTATTATTAGAAACTGAATTAGTGTTGTTGTTCTGGTTAACAGTAGCAGTACTAGTAGGCGAAGCCACTTCGGGCTGGGGCCATAGGTATTCGGCTATCATATCAACAGTAAACTCAAGCTTGCTGCAAAAGTAGATAAAATTATGTATCTAGCAAAATAATAATATAGCAAAATATATTTTATACTTGCAAATTAGAATATGTTTGAAAAATAAATGGTATAATAAAATAAAAATGCAACAATGTGATTGCAAAAATCTACTTATACTAGTTACTAAAAGAATATGTGGGAGCTCCATTGCTGTTTATAGGGCTTTTAAAAGATGGAAGAACATGTATAAGTTACGCCAAAAGCCAAAGGCAATAACAATCCATTAGTATGGTATACTGACCCTTCAGAATCTCCGACTTCCATCCTTCCACGTTTGGATTTTGAGTTTTCATTAGCTGAGCTGTGCATTGAACTTTGAGATTCATCTGCTCCTTCACCAACTCCACTTCTGAAAGTAATTATGTAAATAATTTCAAATTTTTAATAAAAATAATATATAATCACGACAAATATTTGCAAAATATTGCAAAAAGTTTTAGATATGCTCATTACTTGTTAAAAAATACGCGAAGCATTATTGTAGTATATTTTTCAAGTTATCCTAGAAATTATTTAAAAACAAAAGATCAATCTTAACTAAATCGATTTTATACTTTTACTTATTGCTTATTTTTGTATTCTTAAAAGTAAGAATTGTATTTTGGTGTATATAAATTGTTTTCTGATAGATGTAAATATTAAATAAACTAATTTCTTTAAAATTAATCTAATTGATTACACTCTAATGGCATAATGTTGTAAATTATAAATTGTCTTAAGAAATGATAAATGGCAACAAAAACATGTTGCTCAGTAGAGTGTATTTCTTCCAAGGAATAATGAATCAAAACATCAATAAACTACACTTCTCAAATAAGCAATATATCATCATTCACACTTCTTTTTCACACAATTTAAATAAATACAGGGTGAGGGCGGAGTACAAAGGTCCAATTACACATAATTGTAATATTTTGGCTGGTTACACATCTTCGCTCTTTTCTATATTATACAATTCTATATTATATCATACAAATTTTTGAAATAATATTGGAGAGTCTTTTTACCCGCAGACCTTTAAGCACTGCATTACCCTATTATAAAGGTTAAGAAAAGCAAAAATAATATTATTTTGCACCTCTTGCAGTTTTTCCTGCTTCGGTTGTAATTTAAAATTTCTAACTCAGTCTTTATAGACATGAATATGAACTACACAAATATATTTAATAAATCTCAATATAGTTACTTACTTTATAGGCATTCCAGGAGTACTTTTATTCCCAAGATCAGCACTCATTCTTGTATCCTCTTCAAACATTGGAAGTGGATTTTCCTGAAATTGAGTTAGATAATTTGAAATAATATGGTATAAAACTGATTATAATGAAAGGTTCGGAATAAAAACCCATCCAAATATGTTGAATTGAATGTGAATATTTATTTCAAAATTTTTCTTATAATATAGTCTCTCATATTTGCTTGAAGTTTTGAAACTCAATCTTTCTTTAATTTGAGAAATACAAAGTTGTGACAAGCAAAATTGATAAATTAAAAGTTTCTTCTGGTACTTTGATTAAACCCAATACAAAGTCATGGGAGTTTAAGAACATTTAATTATAAATAAGATGTGACACCAGTGCATAAGCATTATTATAATAATTAACCTACCTTCAAGCTGCTTCCTCTCTTTTTAGGAGAACCTCGACTTCCTCTGGATCCTCTTCCCCTTCTACCTCTAGTTGGCGCTCTTGTTGAACCTGGAGTCTTCATAATGGATGACGGAGAAATTCCTTCTGGAGATAATATACTTGTATCCATATTTTCAACCATTTCTTTTTGAGAATCTTGAGGAGTCGTCACTTGGTTAGGAGCTGATGAAATAAATAAGTGTTAGTAAATAAAACAGGATTTTTTTTTATATGAATGTGGAATAAATTTGATAGAAGACAATATTATAATTTGATCTAATTAATAATAGTAAAAATAAAAACTAATTCATAAACAAAATTCAAAAAAATTACTTGATTAAAGTTTAAACCTTCAGTTCTATAGCAAAAATCTCTCCACATGTAAAATAACAATTATTTACATTTGTAAATTTAGTGTGACTGATAAGCACCATTTAAATAGCAAAATACAAAGCATTAAATTTAAATTGACGCTTAATTCTTGTGCAGTTTGTTATAAAAACCTAATGTATTAATTAAATAGAATGGTTATAAAATCAGTGTTGATAGGTCTTCTACGAGAATATCTCATATTCTTAAAATATCTCACTTGAGGGTATAACAGCATCTGAACTATCATCAGCTCCAGTCAAATCAATGGGTATATTACTGGTCATCGCTTGCAAATTTTGAAGAGGATCCGAATTTGACACCATTTCCTGATGTTGTTTCGTCAAAGATTTAATCTTATCTTGAAATGATTCTAGATTTCCACCTGAATATATAAAATGATAAAATTAATTATATTATCCATAAAACATTAAAAGTTTATTTAAATTATTATCTATTATTATCTGATTTGTCAGTAAGTCTACATTTTATATACAAAGACTACATTTCTAAATACCAATTCTATAAGTCACAAGATAATTTCTTACGGATTATTATCACATTATAAATATCAATAACAGTGGTTTAGTACAAGTAAGACGCTTTTTTACAATGTTGATTATTTTTTATAATCAAATAATTAAATATATTAAATAATGTTTATATTTAATAATAGATTCTTTTATCAAAATGAAAAAAATGTTGAAATCAAAATTATCATAATAAATAAATAATTAATTCCCAATAAATTAGTATTAAATTAGTAATTCCCAAAGTGGTCCATAAAGTCCCAAAGGAGTCTATGATATATCAAGAAGTTCACGTCAACAAAAAATAAATTGTGAGGTCAAATATAGGCCACAAAATGAAAATGACATAGGCATACACTATACACTATAGTATACTAAGAACAATATATAATTTACTATAAACTAAAAAGTAAATTAAGATCGTGAAGATTTTTAGCGTTTTTCGAGACCTTTAGAGTATTTCTAGATACTTAAAAGAAAGGTATAAAATACAGCTTAATAATTGAAAACAATGCTTAGTAGAAAGGAGGTTTAGCATTAATACCGATCTCCTAACAAGAAATAGATGTATGAACATAATTAGTCAGAGATGTAAGATTAAATTTTACAAAAATGCCATCTAATTTACTTATTACTTACTTTATTTTGTCATTTTAAATTCAATTAATAAATATATAAACTTTTTGTAATACTAAAATTGTATTTTTACTTTGAATGTTTAAGACCGAACATTACTTAGTGATGTTAGATTTTTCTAAAAAATTCTCTATTGGGTAAAAAAGGGGTCCATTTCAAAGCAAAGGAGGTCAACGGCACAAAAAAGTTTGAAAATCTATAATCCAAATCATATACTTTGTAGAAACACTGTGAGTTTAACTAAAAAGTTATTTTTTGTAAAATATTATTGAACAAGGTAGTTGGAATTATTAAAATAAAATTATTAAAATTATATATACACCTAAGTCTGTTTTTACACGGTCTTTTTGTACACGGTTTTGATATAACACGGTTTGAAAATTGAATATTTTTAATTTTTTTTCACGAATTTATTCCATTTAGCACGATTTGAAATTTTATGTACTTAAATTTTTTTTGTCAAATTTAATTTTTGCGAAGTATGTTCATATCAAAAAAAAGTATTTATGAAAGAAAAAAGTCTGAAACCATCGATAGTATTGATAGTTTGCGAACACTAGCTTAAAGATTTAAGTGAATTCCCCTTTAGCGCGTACAAACAATTTTACTTTGATTTTTTTTATTATATTTGATTTAATAAAAAAAAATGAATTCTTGTTTTCACTAATTTTAATAGGTTTTAGAGATTAGGAACAAATCACCCATTTTTGTATAAAGATCAATGTATTTTTTTACACGTTTTTTTTACACGGCTTCTTCTGGAACCAATCTACCGTGTAAAAACAGACTTAGGTGTATATATATATATATATATATATCTATATATATATGCATAATTAAACATACAAAACAATAAATTAATAAAACATACTTTGTTGATTTTGAGATTGCCATGATTCTGGACTTTTCAATGCAACCTGTGCATTATCACCCGAAGCTTGCTGCTGAATGATTTGGTCCTGGATATTCAGCATTTGTTGAATCCTCTGCTGTTCCATTGAAACCTGAAGAGCTTGCTGTTTAGAGCCACGGCCTCTGCCACGCCCCCTTGGTGTGGTAGAAATCATACCTCCTTTACCCACTGATGATCTAAAAAAATGTTAAGTTTATAAAGCATATCAATTAAAAATAATTAAACATTCAATACAAATAAAAAAGATTAATTGCATGAAAGTGTATCATAAAAGTCAGATATTTGTTTTGAATAGTGTTTTTATGGCAAAATAGTTAAATTAAAATATAAAATTAAAACCTTGAAGGTTTACCAATATCTTAATTGTACATTCAAAGTTGATGTGTGAACAATTATCAGTAATTCATAAAAAAAATATAAACTACATAGTTGTAAGTGTAATTTTGCTTTAAGGCAAGTTGCATGAACTAGACATGTGTAAATGGTCGACTTAATTAATAAGAAATCAATATCAATTTAGGGATGAATTTTGAACAGTTTTTTTTGATTCATTGAGAGTGCTTATCAAGTTTCATCAAATGTCTCTTAAATTTTTTAAATCTGTTTGTCGTTATTGGAAATAAGTCTACGAAAGTTAAAAGTCGGCTCAACTACGCTCACATACTTTTTCCAGAATTGGCCTCGAACGATTCCAAATAACTTGAAACATCAAGAAAGCATAAAATTAGCGAATCGGATTTTCTGGCAAAAACATAAAATTCATCTTCAACAAGTTAATACATATTTTAATTAAAATTAAAAAAAAAAGTTATTCACAAATTAATTATTTTTGCAAATACCATATGGCAAATGACAAATAATTATAAGTAGTATATGTATAGATAATTAGAAATAATAATAAAGCAAACTCACCGTCCTCTGGTACTTCTACGACTTGTTCTAACTGGGCTTTCACCAGATCCAGTCATTAGACCTTCAAGCATATGCTGTGCTGGAAAGAGACTGTTTTGTAGCATTTCTTGAGCAAGTTGTTCTTTCTTTTGCGCAATTAAGTTAGCATCTTTTCTTGGTCTTCCTCGTTTCCTTGGCATGGTTCCTCTGTTAGGAGTTGTAACAGTAGGAGACACGACATTCTGTGCCATTGATTCACCCATACGTATTAATTCAATATCTTTCCCAAACTTAAGATATTGGTTATTTCCAGTATCTGCAATAGGATCATCCTCTATCAAAATGCAATCACCAGAAGAGCTAGAGTTGTCATGTGCTTCATCAATTAAAACCCTTTGTAACGGAAGTGGTGAATCTTGTCTTGGTTGTTCTGTTGATTTTTGGTGCAGTTTAGATAAAATGTCTCTAAGTCTTTTCTCACTCTTCTGCTTCTCAGTTTGCTTTACTGTTGGTGATGCTTGCTGTTGTTTTATTGGTGATATTGACACATCTGGTGGCAACCTAGAGTATATAGAATCCACACAAGGGCGTTTCACTTCAATAATATCTAAATCAGGATTCATTAATGCACGTTTCATAGAAGCAGTGTTAACATCCTGTTCTCCGTGAACAATATGAGGATGCTGCCCCGTTTTGGATAACTTTAGCTTTATTTTATCAACACTTGGACTTTTGCACTGAGAGTCTGTAGAAGGTGATAAAATTTCTGAAGTCGAGTTACCTTGCACAGATTTATTAATTTCCATATTATTCGAGGTGATTCTTGTCCGCTTTCCATTACCTTATCAGTAGTCACAATTTCCAAAGGCTTTGTTGGATCTGCTTCAGTTTGTACTGATGGTATTGGTTTAATATTAAACTTAGGCATGTCTTTTGAATGATGTGCATCAGTTTTAATATCCAGTGAAACATCAGAAGAAAGTTTTAATGTGAGTTTGGGAACTTCTTTCTCAGGCAATGGTTTTATTAAAACCCGAGAAGTCGGTTTTGTTTCACTTTTATAGGAGATATTGTCACCTTTGGATGCACTTCTTGTTCAGACTTAACAACAGGTTTTATTGTGACTTTAGGAGTAAGATGCACAGAGTCGAAAGCACCTATCTTCGCTGTGATCGAACTGCCTCATTGTTATGAGTATTCTCAATATGATCTCACCAGTACTAGATAGTTTTACAGTCAATTTGGGAACCGTTTCTGTTTCTGGTTAGGAACTGATTTTATTGTTAATTTTGAACAACATGCTTTTCAATTGGTTTATCTTGGTCATCTTGATCTTTTTCAGATGACTTTTTAATAGTTAATTTTGGGACAATCAGATGAGTCGTTTTTTCTTCAGTCGTTTTTTCAAAGGTCTTTATTGATACATCTTTATTATCATCTGCATCTTTTTCAGAAGGCAATTTTATTGTTATTTTGGAACAGTTTGCTGCACATCACTATTTTTTACTGATAATTGTTC